GAAATAAAAAGATAACTATTTATGTTGTGCCACTGATTTCATTAACAGTGGTGACGAAAACGACAGTCCAATAAAAATAGACAAATAAAAGAGAAGAGGAATAGAAAATATCAAGTCGATTATTTGGAGTTTGAAGAAATAAAGAAATTTACAAAGATAAAAAGACAAACTCTGAGATATATGTCCTCCATCACGTACATTTATGCAAACTGGCACCTGGCTAGCAGCGATAATGACTTCGCTTCTTGTTATTATCGATAATCACTACTGCGTTTCATATACTGCTGATACTAATAGTGACACCACTATTACTAATATCAATATACCACCTGTTATTGTCAACGATGAACAGAAAGCGGGCACTTCGCATGATTATAGCGGTATGTTGCGACTGTCGCTTGAATTAAGAGAAATAGATGAGATGATGTGAAAAAAATAAGTCTCGAATAATTTTAATGTTTTCCAACATAAAGGACAAAAAGTTGTTGAAAGGGGTCAGCTCGTTGGTAGGACATCTTCGTCATCATGTCGAGACAACAGCCAGTATTGATAATTAAATGAGACTCAAATGAGACATTTGATATCAATATTGAAGTTTCCCAATAATTCGTTGGTTTTAATCTGAGCATATTCTTGTGTCTCTTGATATCAATGTAATTCCTCATTCCTAACCTTCTTTGTGGTAGGTAAATGAGTGATGAAGTACACATAACTAAAATTTTTTTGAGGTATAATTAAAATTCCATAAAAAATTCAGGGCTTTCTGCATACAATCGTTTGAGACATTCAGAACGGCAACGACGACGACACAAGCAAATGTTGCAGCAAAAACAGAAGCAACAGCTACAGTTACATCGTTTCGATGGTAGCATCGACGACAAATTCTTTGACAATTTACGAAGACCATTGAATGTCAACAACAATAACGGTGTAATAAGAAATAGATTTAAAGCTCATTACAGAGTAAGAATCTTTCTGATCAAAATACCGAAATGTGCTGTAAAAAGGTGCTGCATTTGCATGGTTTCGAATCAGATAGCCTGGTTCTGTGTTTAAAAAAAAAATTAAAATAGTGGCAAAATTGATGTCGTATCTTTTATCAATGTAATTAAAATTAATGGCTTTTTTAACAGGGGAAATTTTAACTGGAAAAAATCTCTTTCTTCTTGAACACTTTTAAATTTGACTTTACTTTAGAAAATTATCCAGAACTTTTCTATCGTTCTAATTTCCATTGTTGTAACTTAGATTGTGTAGCTCAGAATATAAAACTGAAATTTCCTGTCTCCCTATTATTTCTATTAAAAAAAAGCGCAAAATTTCTTAGCCAACAAATATTTTCCAGTACTCTTTGTTTTCTCCATCCCGCAATACCAGCCATATTTCTCTTCCTATTGTTATTATTTCTCCCTATTTATCAAATATTTTGAATAATATCATAAGCGAGGAGCATATCAATCGGAAATTTGGATGATTCTCTAACTTTTGTTTGATTTTCTTAAAGAAAACATTGAAAAATTCTCACACTCCTCCTTTTCATCACCGCTAAAAAAGGAAGACATGAAGAAAATTCGTTGCATTTTTTGAGGACACAATGGAGAAAGGTAATGACATCATTGAGTGCTCACCTCTGTGCAAAAGAAATATGTTGCTGGAAAGGAAAAGTTGAAGTGTTATCTCGAAAATTTTATTTCAATCGAAAAATAAGCCATTGTATATTTTGAGATTCTAGAAAGAAATTAATAATGAAAAAAGAACATTTTTACTCATCGAAAAAATGTTTGCGCTATTACGAATTCAATTTTTAATCTAACAGTTAAATTTCGATCATGCTTCCTTTGAAGAGGAAAAAAAATGAATGATCTTGATAGGATCCTATTAGGCAGATAAGTCCTAAGAACTCAGTCTCATTCTTTCTATCAATAAAGATAACAATTATCTCATTTCCACTAAGCATATGGGTATCATTAAGTTTAATATGCTTGGAATATATTTAAATGAATTCTTGGAGTCTACTGCCCTTTTGTTCATGTCCTTTTCTGTAAAATTGGCCGTTGCATATTTTTTAAACAAATTGGCTGAAATTTATGTTTGGAAAGACTGTTAGTTTACACGTTTAGTATCAAAAAGCGAGAAGTTGGCATTTCCTAATAAAATCACAGAATTTTTCATATTTGGCGCATATACAGAAATGTTTCATTTTCGACTGAAGTCGGAAAATAAAGGTCTGGATATTTGTATTTGAACAAATTGGTGAAAGAAATCAAAAGTGTTCTGGCGAATATTGCCTTTAAAAATCTGTGTTACTAAAATTGCGGACATCCAGCGGTCATTTATATATTATTTTCACTTATTTGTTTATTCATTTATTTTAACTTTATTTTAGCATACAAATACATCTAAAACTTCTCAGTTTATATGGAAAAAATTCAACGTTTCTTTTTTTAAGGATCTCAAATCAAAACGGGAGAGAAACGAGCCATTATGTGAGAGTGACCGTAATACTGTGCATATGAATACCCCAACTGAGGAATATGATCCTCCATTTTTTGTCGAAATACGTTGCAAAAGTATTGCTGATTATGAACAACAGCAAGGACGTATACCTATTAGGCAACAAGTATCATATTTCATAAAAAATTTTTTAGAATTGATTCGCTTTATAATTATTAATCCTATGGGAACAAGTAAGTGTCACGTTTAACTTAAAGAAATGCTCGTAATCGTAATTTTATTCATGAAACTTGCACATCTATCAAAATGACCAAAGATGAAACAATTATAGAACGACTCCTATGAAAATCATGTTTGGAAACAGTTTCAATAAATCATATAGGAAGTTGACAATTTTGTTAATAGTTCCTATTGTGAAACATCAAAGTTGTGATTACGAACCAAACATAAATTTTAACACAAGTATAAGTTATCTGCAATCGAAATTAGTAAATAGAAGAATCTTGTAAGAATATGAGAAATTAATGTCTGCATTAAATGAAACTGATTTTCGAGATCTTCTCCAATGTCACAATGACTTTTGATTTTAAATTTGACCTTTCAAAAAGTGTCAGTCACTTACTTAGCTCGAATTGAATCAGTTTTCTAATGTGAAACTTGTCAATTGCAAGATCTGTTTTGCTCCATTCCTTGTTCGCCTGCAAATATGGCTCAGTCTTGAATTTATTTCAATTAATTGCCTTTGAAATTCTAAATATCATATTTCGAAGCCCAAAATACCATTTTTTTTAGTGAGGAAATTTTTTGGAAATATACAAATATAGACATATAATGCAATTTAGAATTATCGTCATGAATTTTTTCGATTATGATAGTACTCTTTTAATCTTAATTATGAAGAAAGTGACTGAGCGGGAATTATGAAAACTAATTTTTCTGCTCAAATTTATTGCCATCAAACAATTAAACATGAAAGAAAAATAAATTATTGGCATAAAATTTCAAGTTTTTTTATCATTTGATAAATTCAGCTAAATTCAGTTGTCGGTTAATCTGCATTTTTATATGCCAAATTTATCACTTAATGCAGAAGTTTTGACTTTAAGAACAAGCCATCCCTAAATTTTTGAGTTTGGAGGAAAAACTTTTGAGTTTTGGGGCAGAAACTGGCATACTTTAAAATGAAACAAATCATTTGCAGTAACAACAGGTTATTAAAAATTAAAAGCAGTACTTTTTTTCTACTGGCAATAAGTTTTCAAAATGCATTAGAAAACTTTTTTTGGCTAATCTTTAGTGAATTTCATTGCCACTTTCCAAAAAAACAAATTTTTCCTAATTTTTTTTCAAACCCAAAAATTTTCAACTGTTG